TATCATCTATATTTACTAGAGATTACATGCAAAAGAACAAAGGAACCTTAATGAATTAGGAGTAAGTGGGTTTCCTGCATGTTATTTCAGGTAACAATTGCATTATCATTTGATTCATTTCTCTGACTGCACCGGATTAACAGAATGGACAGAAGTTTTACCTGTCACAAAGGGGTTCATGACTGCAGTCAAAGAATCATCTGTATTCATTTGGATGGCACTCGGGTTGGCTGATTGTATTGCTAGGGCTTATGGAGCAGATTATTTATATACGTCATGTTAAAATACATTTAAGCAGAATCTCATAGAAGTTGATGTTTGCTAGTATAGATGATGCCTCAGTACAAAAATATACATATGTGCAAACTTACTTTGTCCATTTTGTCCCATTATGGTACAAGTAGTAGGTTCATTGATAGCACACATGATTTCTAACTTCTGGCCAGTCTTGAGGGATTATCTGACTCCTAAATGCATGCACATGAGAGTAAGCCTCACTAAACACCATGGTATAGAGTAGATTGAGGCCAGAAGCACACTAAAATTAATATTCTTCCCATCATGCTGTCTGTACATAAGAATGACTTTCTGTTACTTTTCAGATGTTCCCTGGAGAATGTGAGCTCTTTGGCATATGATGCTGAGAGCCATCATTCTTCAGGGGAAGATGGCTGGACTGTATGTTTGGAAATAGACATTGGCATTTTCCATGATGGGTGAGACTGAACGATTATCTGATCTGACATTATGTCCACACAGTGGCCACTCCTATGCTTACATGGAAAACCCACAGGCAGTACATGAATGTAATAGCACCCCCCTGCTTGTGTTCCCCTTGAATGGGTACGCAAAGACACGCTGCCTCTGATACTAGCTGCAATTGCTAGGGCTTAACCAGCAATAGCCTTACCCTCTGAAAATTTGTCTGCTCCCATGTTAATACCGTCCAAGCTGATGACAATCCCCACAACTTGTGGTGGTAAATTTCATAGTTTATGTGTGTTTGTGGCTAAGTTTATGTGTTTCTACATGAATGAGTTAAAGTACAAGATATAATCCCAAATTTGAATTGTATGATGTCCTTCTGTAACTCGTAATACACTTGTACAATGTACAGCATTTTGGGGCTGTTATGGTTAAGTTTCTGTGACTTATTAAATGTTATACAGTATACTTGTGATAAAGTCAAATTTGTGAAATGCCCATGTAGTGAAAATTTATTAAATGTATTTATTATTAATATTTTAACATTCAACATTGTCTTTCAGGACATAGCCCAGTAGGTGCCCTATTCTATCCTAAGTGTTACCTTTCAAATTTTTCCCAGATTTACAAAGCTGTGTATATCTTCATGTAGATGCCATCTTGCTAGGCACTTAAGTACCGTGACAGGCCAATCATTATAACTTAATGTAATTGGCACTCATGGAGATGCTGACATGTACTGCGTGCAGCCAAGCTGCTCTTGGGAAGCTGTGTGAGATCTTTTCAGAATTCAGTGCTCACAAACCCTTTAGTGAGTAGAAAGAAGGTCATTTTCAAAACAAAGCTCAAATTTCTGCATTTGTAACAATGAAGAAATTGAAATTGTGAAAGATTTACAGAACTCAGCTATTCAGTCAACAGAACTCAGTCATCAATTCAGATGGAGAATGTAACCAAGAAATTTGAAGAAGAATGAGACTTGGAAGGGTAGCATAAAGGAACTAGAAGAGATAATCAGGAGTAAGGATGTTTCACTGGAGACCAAAGCCAAGATGATACAAACTATTGTACTCCCAGTCACTATGTGTGGGTATCAAAGCTGGACAGTGAAGAAAGCTGACAGGAGGAAAATTGATTCTTTCAAAACATGGTGCTGGAGGATTGCTTTGTGAATACCTTGGACTGACAGAAAGATGAACAATTGGGTCCTAAATCAAATCAAGCCTTTTATTGGAAGCAAAAATGGCAAAACTGAGGCTGTCATACTATGGGCACATCATGAGAAGGCAAAACTCCCTGGAGATGAAAAGCCAAAGGCAGAAGAAGAAAAGGAAGACCAAATCTGGGATGGAGAGACTCCATAAAGAAAGCCACAACCTTGAGTTGGCAGGAACTGAGCAAGGCTGTCATATATAGGACATTTTGGAGAGCTTTCATTCATGGGGTCGCCATAAATCAGAGATAACATCACATAATAACAACACATTTACATGAAGTTCTGTGTTGTTCAGATTGCACCACTCATTTTAAAACCAATCTTCCCTGTGTATGTACACCATTAGCAATATTTACAAGTGACTCATTTCCAACTTGTAAATATTGGGAATAACTTGGAGATAAAACCAGTCAGTCTTAGAGGATATCAACCCTGACTGCTCTTTAGAAGGTCAAATACTGAAGATGAAACTTTGGCCACCTAATGAGAAAGAAGGACTCACTGGAAAAGAGCCTAATGCTGGGAACAATTGACGACAAAAGAAGAAGGGGATGACAGAGGATGAGGTGGCTAGATGGAGCCACTGAAGCAGTTGGTGTGAGCTTAGCTGGAGTCTGGGGAATGGTGGAGGACAGGAAGGCCTGGAGAAATGTCATCCATGGGGTCACAGTGGGTCGGGCACAACTTGGCAACTAACATAACATAATAACATTTCCAACTAATATGTACTGGTAGGGCAGAACCAGAACACAGAGCTACGACTGCAGATGGCAGTCTCATGCAAAATGTGCTGCCTCCCTGTGATGTTAGACTGATACATCTCTTTCCTGATGACTTCATCCCCCATTATATCATGGCATGAATAAGTTGCCTAAATATTATGGGGAGAGATGGAGAATACATGGCTGCCATTTCTGGCTACAGCTTTATGATAAGGATTGCAGACCTGAAAAATGAAAGCAAATGCAGGTACCTCATGTGGGAACAGCATTTCTAATAATGTGAGCCACATTGCCAGCAACAGCCGCTGGTGCAACTGCAGGCAATTTGCACATGCTTGGATTTGCACTGTGTTGTGTTATGAGCTGGCACATCGTGCAAATATAATAAATGGCTAATAACTGAGAAGGGAAGATCATTGAGGGTTCTCCCAATCAACATGGACTGCATGAATTATCTGTACGTGGAGAGTTGCCATGTTAATTCATTATTACAGACAGTTTTAATTAGTATGGAAAAATGGCTGTTGTTTTTGTGGTAAATGGAAAGGCGGTAAACATTACAAAAATGTTAGGGCCACCTCAGTGATACTGAAGAAGAGTCTCATTCCTCAGAAAAGATGAGGAATGTATGATTGAGGTGTCATGGGAATTGTTTAAAAAGGACTGTAATGGTCTGTAACCATCAGGGAAAGAGTATAGATGAGAACAGCTATGAAGACACAGTTGAAAGTAGTGGGAGTACAAAACAGTGAAGGGTAGTTGGTAATTATAAGGACTAGAAGAGACTGTGAGGTTAATTAAGAGCATAAGAATGGAAAGAGAACTCTGCTACATCAGAACAAAGGCCAAGCTAGCCCAGCTGCATCCTCTGGCAAACCAAGAAACAAAGCATGGATACAGCAAGTCTCCTTTGTTGATGTTTTCCCTCTCAGCAAGCAGTATTTAGTAACATGCTGCCCCGGACCTGAGCATTCCTCTTATCCATCATCCATAATAGCTACTGATTAAATGTTGGGCAGAAAGAATGAGTGCAGTAACAGTGGCAAGAGGATAAATATTGTGGGCATTTCATGAAATGCAGGAACATGGAGATTCCTACCATTTATTTTAAGAGTTGGCAGACATTCCTCCTGTTTGCAACATTGCAATGGCAAGACTAGAAGGGAGAAAAGATTTGATTCAATTGAATGGGAGGAAATATTGGGTAGGGGGCCAGTTGCAGATGCAATAATGCATTTATTATTTAGTCAAGTGCATGGACTAGAAAGAGATGATTCACTCATTTTGCTGTAATTTCATGAAGACATCCCACATTGAACTGTCCATGAGCCAAACATTCTAGCCTCTTCAAGGCTTGAGAGAAGTAAGTCACAACCAGTTTCTATCTTGGTCACTAGAAGAGGAGTTCTTTCTCTATAGAATATGCTGAACAACTGCCTAGAATCTCCAATTTTATTTATATTTTTTCAAGCAATGCAATTTTGGATGTTGCTCCAACTTATATTACTGCTAATGAAATTGTGTGTGCTTGATAAAACCTGCTAGCTGTCTTTATTGCAACTATTGCTTGTCTTTATTTTGCAACTGGCAGAGGAAGCACACTTTAATAAAATGTGTACAATAAAGCCTATCTCCTGTGATTTATCCTCCCTTAAAAGGAATCACCACTTATCTGTTTGTGGTTCTCTTGTTAATCCCATTTATATTCCCTGGGACTCTAGAAATAACATAAATATTCATTTCAGCCGTGCTCTGGAGGGGTTTTTTGTTTGTTTTTGTTGTGTTTTTCAAAAAGGACATAATAATCCACATGGCAAAAGTAGAGGATCTTCTCACAATTCTGTATTAATTCTTGGGGTAGGATGCTGGTCAGAGACCTGATGTTTAGGTTGGATGTACATTAATCTCTCCAGTGAGACTTTCTGGTCTTCCTTCCCTCAAGGTTAGACAGACTAAGCAGTCAAGAGCCCCCAAACCCAATCTGCCATGCTCAATGAGGAAGAGTGTATTTTCATGCATGTTGCAGAGATATGAACTGAATTTCAACGCAAAAAAAGCAGAACTGGCTTGTTTGTCATAATGTATAAAGGCTCTTGGAGACAATGCATTATCTGGCCCATGCGATTATGAAGCAGAGTCTGAAAATGTTTGTCCATATCTCTTTAGCGTCTGCTTTGTTATTAATGCATTTTGTTCACATCTTTAATTAAGGGTGACAATTGCCTCCTAGGCCTTGGACTTCATCACTTTCTCTAGTGGAATCTCTTACTTAGATGTGGTATTATCTTCTGTAATTGTAACTCGAACACAATTGGATAAACTCATTTCTTGACTTTCTCTTTCATTTTGTTTTGTAGCTGGTGCCACATACATCTTTGGGAAAAGTGGAGGCCTCATCCTGTACACCTGGCCAGCAAATGACAGACCCAGCACAAGAACAGACCGCCTTGCTGTCGGGTTCAGCACAACAGTGAAAGATGGCATCTTGGTTCGGATTGACAGTGCTCCTGGCCTTACTGACTTCCTGCAGCTTCACATAGTGAGTGGGAGGCTCCTCTTAATCTTTGTTTTCATTCCTGTTCTAATTCAATTCTAATGTCTACAAACATAGGGGACTTAAAGAGACTTAAGGGGGAAAAACTTCTAATTTTTCAGAAGTAGTGGACTTAGAAATAAATATACAGTATCTCACATGCATAGAATTTGTAATTGGATTGAGTGCTGCCATTTCCTATAGTACCATAATTCTTTATAATAACTATGCATGACTTGGGAATGCCATACCAGGAGTGGGAGTTGCTTTGTTTTACCTGTTTTTTGGGGGAGGGGGGATGACTAAGGTACAGGCTTTTTTCCGATGCTCTTGGCACAGAAATACAGAATTTTGGGGGGTTTGACAGTTGGCATCTTTAGAGATGGTGGCTGTCTATACTATGGTTGTTGTCTGTCTATTGAAGAGGTTTAATGACATCCATTAAAAAAATCTTTAAAAATCTACATAGTCTATCATTTTAAGATCTCAAACATGAAAATGACAGAAAATACAGATTTTGCAATGTTTTCCAAAAGGGCTTGATGCAAGAGGGCAGTGACAATATATAGACTAATTATTATTAATCCAACAAGAGTAACTGGATAAGTATTTTGGGGAGTATTTTGTCCTTATAATGTCAGCTCAGTTGATAGCATAATAATGCCTTAAATGAGGCTACTCAATGCCATGTCTGAGCATCATTTTTCCATATGGCATCTTAGCTAGAAGAAAGGTCAGTGTTAATTTGTTCCAGTGCAATTCTAGACAAATCTTCTCCAAGTAAGTTTGCATAGGCTTGCAATCCTAATAAATTTAATATTATATACATAATCCGGGAATTCCTGTATTCCTTTACCTTGATACAGTGTTATCATACTGCCTGCTTACCTTGAGTTCTATCATGAGTATGTAATGCTAGTTTTCTGTATGGAGCTGAAAACATCTGAATACTCATATGTTTTATTGTTTTTCTGTATGGAGCTGAAGACATCTGAATACTCATGTTTTATTGTTTAGTGCTACCTAAATGTGGATAATTATAAGCCATGCTTGGGCAACACTGAAAGATAGACTTTCCCTTAAACTATAGAAAGAATTCAAGCGGAAAATGGAAAAAACACAAGGAAGAGCAAGTGAAGTATCAAGGAGGCATGCAAGGAGGCCTCACATGCAAGTTTCAACAACAATGTAATAAGGCTAGTCTCCAGTGACAGGCTGCGGACTCCAGAAGTATGAGTCTCCGTGATAAAACCCACAAATCTGAGAAACAGAGTGTGTGCATTTATGGAGTGCTGAGCAGAGAATTCCTTCCCCATCCCCTATCTAGATGATAGTGCTGAAGGAAGCATTTGCATGCACCTTGTACCTTTGTCTTCTTAACATGCTACTCAAGATCAACTGATGGTGAACAGTTTGCATGTTTCGTGTCAATATGCACACTGTCCAGTAGACACTTCCCCCCATTTTGAGCTTATGACTTCGAGCAGCTTCTACCACGTAACTGATCTGTGATCACCGTTGCTCTGTCTTCCCACCAACTATTCCAAAGTTCACTGCTGTGGAATCAGCCCTTAAGGGCCATTGATTCAATTAATTTTATTCTTTATTGTTTGTTTCTCCCTGGGCATTTATGCCTATGCCTTTCACTGTGGAAGAAGCAATTTTGAAAAAGCCGAGTGGTGAGCGAGTCACTGGTAGTTAGTTTGTGGGCAAACCAGAGTATGGATAGACACATATACAAAGAGAGCTTATGATGGTGAATTCCAACTCGTGCTGGACATTCTTCCTTGGTAACTTTCTTCTTGACATCTTGCAGACAGCTCTAGGGAATCACAGGACATTTATTACCATATAAGTTTCCTATTTGCATACTAGGTGAGGAGAATACAAAAAGGTATCTTATTAATTTCTTTTGTGAATGTAATTTATGGAAAATCCATTTGGATTCATTTTTTAATTATGAGCCCTTTAGACACACTGGAGATTTATATGCTCAGGCATCTGTTTTGTATGACAAGAATCTATAACCTCGGAAACCTTTTCCCTCCTGATTTACAGTGCAGATGTGAATGGGCTGGCAGCCCAGGGAAAATGGATGGTGCGCCCTCCAGAACGATGTGGCTCATGAATATCTAGGCATTTAAATTGTGCAGGGCTGGGGCTAGGTTTGTGGAGAGTGAGTGAGTTGTGGCCAAATGCATGCTCCTGGGGAGTGGGTTTTGTAGTGCACTGAGATGGAAGCTTTTGTGGAAAATGAGGAAGAAGACCGTTACTATCATCTTAGGTAGCCTGCATGGTTTGAATTGGGCCCAGCACATGCATTTTGCCCCATCTCACCACAGCTCCTGCCCTGTAATTTATAGCATGTAAAAGTACTCATGGAAAATAAACAGGACAAGCGGGACAGCTGTGGCTTGTGATGGATATTGGGCCGCTGATGTCTACAGGGAGAGATGAATCACCTGACTATGTCCTGCAGCTTTATTTTGCTGCCTTGCATCTGGGTATTTATTGCAAATGATCAGTGCAGCCCTTGTTTATCATCTGTAGGGTTATGAGGAAGCAGATTAGCTCTTGTTCCACAGATGGCTTAGGAAAACCAAGAAGCATGGTGAGGAAAAGAAAAACACCACCACCTTTAATTTCTATCATGGTATTATTACAGGACTGTCCCTTTCTTGAAGGCATCCTTTATTTGAATGGTCACTCAGGCCAACTTCAATTTAGAGATAGGGAACCACTAGCAGGAAGAGCTGGGTCTTGAAGTTGCCCATCAGCAGCATCTGGACAGCAGGCAGGCCACCTCATGATTCCCATCCTATAAGGAAATACATGGTATTTTTGTATAAATCCATTCTAAGTCGGCAACTGGAAATTTAAATGAATCCTCTTCTTTGGTGATGCTTTTCCTTTTTAATGCCTTTATAAGGAGTTGCCCTAAATTGAGTTAATAAACAGCCTTACTTCTTAGGTGATTAGATATACAAAAGAGAACTGGGCTCCCAGAGTTTGATTACATAACTAGAAGAGGACATTTCAGCTGGGCAGCTTGTTGTGGACAAATGAAATGACTGTCTGCTGGGGCTGGGGCTTCCCCCGCCCCCCAAACACACACACAATTACTTTTTATTGTGACTTTCACCAAAACGAAACAGATAAAAAAGGGCAAAAAGACAGCAGATCTTCAAATTAACAAATACTGATATGCAAATAGTCAACTAACAATACCAAGTCTCATGTCACAATTATATATAAGCTTGAACAAAGGCAGACAAACTGTATAAATATCTATTCCAGAGTGGTGTCTTAAGTGCTATTAAGTTTTCAATCCACTGTATTATACACACTGAGATTTTATCTCTTGAGCATTGTAGTGTCAGTCTTTTAGGTGTCAAAAGAGCACAGAAAATCCATTTATGTAAATCAGGTAACACAGCTGTGGAACAACAAACTTAAACTGTAGCACACCAGATTAAGCCTAGACACCAGGAAACACTTCCTAAGTGTCAGAACAATACGACAGTGGAACCAGTTGCCAAGAATGGTTGTGGGCTTTCCCACACTAGAGACATTCTAGCTGAAACTGGACAGTTATCTGAGTGGGATGGTGAGACCTGGCATCCTGCACCAGCAGCGGGTTGGACCCAATGGCCTTCTTGGCCCCTCCTGGCCATACTGTTCTGTGAATCTATAGGTTTAACCTCCAAAAAACCAGGAGCTAATTTAAAAGCACATATATCAAAGTATTCTAATACAAAATTTATTTGCATTATAATTTCCATCCAAAAAGAGGTAATGGCTGGACATTGCCAAAACATGATTTACAAAAGCATTAGTGGTATTACACCTCTAGCAGTGGATTGACCTAGACAAACCTGATTAATTGTATGTTGTAGCCCTCAGTAAACATAGAACACTAATTGTTGGTGATAAGACACAATCTAATGGTTGGAAGAGGGAATGAATAAGGACATTAAACTCCTCTATTCCATTTCTCCATTCTTCCATTAAACCTATCATTTCGTATTTATTAGCTGATAATAAGTATTTATAGGCAGGGATCAACCTCAAGACAACTTTTAGTACAGGTCAGCAAACAAGTCTGATGGTGTAACACAAGATACGGAAAACCAAACCCACTCTCCCTAATAGAAAGTTCCAATCACTGAAGTGATTGTGAGTTGAAAAAGCTACAGAGCTAAATCTGGATTCTAGGAAATGTTGCAGTTGTAAGCGTTTCTACTCTGCCACCATAGACAAATCATATTTGGCACTTAATGCCAAAACTTATTATCTTCCCCTATTAATTGATCCAAGGAAAAATCAATTTGGACATCCAACTGTGCAAACAAACAAAACAATGTTTTTACCATGTGTAATTCTGGATTTTGCCACAAGGTCAATTTATCATATGAAAATAGGTTAAATTGTAAATGATGTGATACTGGCTGTTACATGTCTTGGGCTGCCCTAACAGCTAATGCCTTCCACTTGACCAGGGGGTCCAAACAAGATTCCAAATAATAAATAAATAATTTATAAATTATTTATAAATTATTTATTAATAATAATAATAATCTATAAAGGTATAAATAAAGGAATCCTACAAAACACATAACATCCTACATATAGTATTCATCTTCTGTATATTAATCTGACTTCACATTCTTAACTTTAAATAATCTCATCTTCTATCTCCTATGATATCTCATTAATAAGTTTATTCAAATTTAGTTTAATTATGTGTAATATCTTTTTAGCAATGAGTATTCCCAAGTAAATAATAGACCTTGGGCACCACTAGAATTGCCAGTTGTGAGAAACAGCATCTCTAATTGAGTTTACCAACAGTGCTAATCAGCTGTATCAAAGCAGGAATGGACAACTGGAGTTGCAAACTAAACCATAACAATTCATCTACTTAAAGAATAATTTTGACCTCTAAGCTGTTATGAACAAAGCTGTGAATACTAGCATTCAGTCTAATCAATCATAAGTCAAATATC